AAATTCTTGCATGAGCTTTATTAAATAACCGAACAAGTGGTGGCCTCCAAATTTTTTAACAACCAGTTCTCTGCCCTAATTACTGGTTGGGTGGGCATGGCTGTGTGGGGTCATGTGACTGTGTGGGTGTGGCCAACTCTATGTCACTTGTGTGGGTGGAACCTGCATTTTTTTATCTGCTTGTGCTTTGTAAGTCAGATGTGCCTTTTCTAAGGCCTTTCTCACAACTGGCCATGTGATTTGCAGTTTTTGTATCCTTAAGGGAAGTGGATAGTTCTAGAATGGGGTTAAACTTTTGGCCAGTGGCTACTCTAAAAGGGGTAAACAGTTTGACTGCCTTATTGCTATTGTAATATGGCAGTCTGGACAGAGCATCAGTCAGAAAAATCCCCCCCCCCCCGGGGGAGGTGTTGAAGGGTGAGGTTGAAGCATTGGAAGTATTGAGCCCAACGTACTTGTTTGGGGGATAATAATGTGGGATTTTAAAGGGCTTCCAGATTCTTGTGATTTTTCCCCTTCCAGGAAATGGCGCCAAGTAAGGAGGGCCCAATGGGGACAGCATAAGCCTCCTTCTCCCAATCTGCCCACCGTTGCTCTGGATCTGTTCACTTCTTTGAGGTGTATGCACAGAACTGCAATTGCTCCTGCTCGTTTTCCTAGAGCAGGACAGCCCCGACTGCCACAGCGCTAGTGTCTACTTAGATTACGAAGGGCTTTTCCGGGTCCGGATGTTTTAACACCGGTTTGGCAAAAAAAGAGTTTCTTTGGTTTCACCTGGCATTCTATAGTTCACTTTAAAGGTTGGCTCGGCTTGGCCTCCCCCTCCCTTTCCCAAGCAGGTACATTGAAGTGACAAGAAGGCCAGAAACAGGAAAGAGGTTGTAAAGGCACATCCAGCCGCCCCCCTCCCCATCATAATGGCAGCATCCCAATAGGGATCTCAGGGACCTGACACGGAAGCCACTTTCTGAATGGTGTCTCTAGCCTTGAAATGGGAAGTGGTGCATCAGTTGCTAAGCAGAAAATCTATGGACTAGTCATTGCCATTAATTTTATTGCAGAATTAAAACAGTAGCATCTGAACACAGAATGTTACTTGATGCAGAATCTGATTACATTTGCTACTTAAACCTTAGTCTCCTGGTCTCTTGTTTGACCCTTCTTTTGATTTGTTTATACTGCACTCCTGTATTATAGAGTTAAATCTCAGCAAGTATGTCAGAATGCACACTTACCCTTATCTGCTGCTGCTTTCATTGGTTTGCCATCTTTCTCTGTGCAAGGCCTGTCATCTCTGAGATCCTGAGTTTGTGTAGATAGCACCCATAATCCTTGAGCAGAACTATCAGTGGGGTATGATTGATCAATTGAATTCCCTAGCAGCTGAAAAATGCGGGATTAAGTAAGGCATTATACACACACAGTGTTGAGACTGGATGTTCATTTCAAGTTCATCCTGCACGTCTTCTGCCACAAGATCAAGCAATCAATAGGGGAGCAGATATCATATATCACTTCTCTCCATCCTAGGGAGAGCACCATAATCTCTTGCAAATTTAGAGTGACAGTCTTGTCAAGATCTTAAGGGACCTGAATAAATGAAGGAAAAGGGAGCTTGCACTGGCTTTGAGAAAGCTCAGGTTTCTTTTGCAGATTGAATCAATCAGCAGATATTCAGATTGAATATCTGTGTATACATGGATATTTATGCCATGATACCATTGTTATAAATACTAAGATAGCTACTGGGCAGAGTGTATTAATTAATTCATAGTTCCGTTTGCAGTATGTAAAGTGAAGATCATTTAGGTTTTAGTACAGGGGTCGGCAGCCCTCGGCTCTGGAGCCACATGTGGTTCTTTCTGCTGCAGCTCCCTATCGCTTAAAATATGCATCACAACCAGCAATGTGCAACACCCACCAGCATGTGATTTATTGAATTTTTTGACACATCGTTGTTTTTTTCAGGGTTTGAAATCTTTTTGTTGCAAGCAGAAATAAAAATGTGTTTTCTCTGTAGCAGATCATTGATTTCATAAATGCAACACACTATCGGGTTTTTTTAGCCTAAAGATTAAAAAAAAACTAATATATGCAGTGTTATCTTCATTTTAGATATCAAAAGAGTTTTGTGGGCCCCAGCGTTTTCTTTTTTGTGGGAAATGGGTTCAAATGGCTCTTTGAGTGATTAACGTTGCTGACCCCTGTTTTAGTAGAAAAAAAGGAAGAAGCTAAATGTTCATTATTTAATAGGTGCCACCATCTTGATTTTTCCTTCTGTGCATGGGCAGAACAATTTTATTGCACTGCACATGCATGCACTGCGCATGCGTGCATGAAGCACACACAAGTAAGCCAGCAGTAGTGCCTGCCGGAACTTACCCCTGGCCCCCCATGTTTTATTTATTTTATTTATATAACATTCAATTTCCATCAAACAGTGTGTGATCTGGTACAGTTATTTTTAAACAGTCATAATCCACATATTTGTTGTAGTATTCATCACAATAATATTGATAATCTCATAATCTAATAACAATAATACTTAACATCTTCTTTAACAACTCTTCACATTAATATTTCCTCTTTTTATGTCTCCTCCTTTCTAACTTCTGTTTCTGTTGTCTAGCCATTGATAAAATACATCCCATATCAAAAAAGTATTCAGTTTCTTCTTTAACCTTAATAGTGAATGTTAATCTATCCATTTCTGCGCAGTCTAATATTTTCTTTAGTACATTCTCATCTGATGGAATCTCATCGTTTTTCCACTGCTGTGCAAATACAGTTCTGGTTGCAGTTAGTATATGTAAANGGAACAACTCACTGCTGATTTCTGGATCACTCTCCCTTGTCTCCTCCCCACTGGTCCAAGGCTCAGGTACCACCTGGTGGCCAATCAGTCTCTCTGCACCCTGCTCGGAGTCGGAACCCTGTCCAGGATCCTCCACATCCTCCAGGGCCAACTCATAGGGCCCCTCGCTGTCGGAGTCTGGTGGCAGCTCCAACGGCTCCTGCTAGGCCACAACACACATCTACACAAATAACAGTATATACAGATACAGATACACATGTACAGATTTAAACCATTGTAGGCAAATACACCAACTCTCATATGCTACTAACATTGACATAGAATCCATGTCATTATTTAAGAATTTAAAAATATACCTGATATATCCTTAGAAATATGCCCCTGTATTCTTTATTTTACTGTAAATAATTATTTACAAGAGACACTACCATAGGTATCTGATTAAGTTAAGTGGATCAAATTACATTGCTACACCTACAAGAGGATGCAGTGGCTCAGTGGCTAACACACTGAGCTTGTTGATCAGAAAGGTCAGCAGTTTGGCAGTTCAAATCCCTTGCACCATGTAATGGGGTGAGCTTTCGTTACTTGTCCCAGCTTCTGCCAACCTAGCAGTTCGAAAGCATTTTAAAATGCAAGTAGAAAATAGGCATTCTCTGCGCCTTTGGTGTTTGGTCATGCCGGCCACATGACCATGGAGATGTCTTCGGACAGCGCCGGCTCTTCAGCTTTGAAACAGAAATGAGCACCACCCCCTATAGTTGGGAATGACTAGCACATATGTGTGAGGGGAACCTTTACCTTTTACCTACAAGACAATGTACTTGTTATTATATGGTCTCCCCATATAGATTGCACAATAGAGGCAATAAATTCCACAGTTGCATAGAACTTAAAAAAACAAGAACTTTCTCAGTGGCAGTCCTCTCTCTTTGGAGCAACTTGCCCCAAAGTCGGAAGTGCCTTCTTGTAAGATTCATATTTTTATGGTTAGTGTTAGCTTTGCATATTGTAAGCCTCTTAAAATCATGAGACCAGGCAGTGTACATATGGAAGGGAAGGAAAAGTTTGAAAATTGGTCCTTGAAAAAAAACTTCATACATTTACGCAGTGCTATTCCAAGAGTGTTTGTATAAAATGTGATAGTAAAGGAATATTTAATACATTAATATTTAATACTTCCTTTAGTCTATAACTTATCCTTTCTAAAATTTAAAAATTACTTTAGAACTGCATAATATACAGTTCCCACGAGTTTTACTATTACTATTGTTCCAGTATAGAAGAGTAAACAATATGTCTAATTTATTTGAAATAAAACTTACCATAAAAGAAGAAACGAAGTTTAAACTTTGAACAGGAAGGATGCTGAAGCTGAACTGCATATATTAGTTTAACAAACCCTGCAGTTTACCAAAAAAAAAATATCTTCCGATTTTTCTACTGAAGTGTATTTTGTGCTGTCCCAAGTGGTTACATGTCGTACCCTTCCTTATAAAAGAAAAGAATCCAGGGAGAAACTAGTAATAATATACTATATTATGCATTATACACAGTGGTGGGATTCAGCAAGTTCACACCTATTCAGGAGAACCGGTTGTTAACTTTCTAAGCAGTTCAGAGAAGCAGCTGGTGGAAGAAATCTCATTTTGTTTTTTCTCACTTTACAGGGCTAATCCTATAAGAAAGGCAGGAAGGAAAACATTCTGGTGGTGTTTCTAGCCTAATCTTTATTGCCCTGCTTACAGAAACTGCCTCTCCGGTTAATCTTTATTACATTGTAACAGCTAAGGTGAAGCGCCCACCCACCTGAATGACATTGAGTTAGCCACGCCCACCCAGTCACATGACCCTCGANTGGAGTGGGAATGGAGATTTTGCAGTATCCTTCCCCCAGGAGTGGGGTGGGAATGGAGATTTTGCAGTATCCTTCCCCTGGAGTGGGGAGGGAATATATATTTTGCAGTATTCTTCCCCCAGGAGTGAGGAGGGTATGGGGATTTTGCAGTATCCTTCCCCTGCCACACCCACCAAGCCATGCCCACAGAACCAGTAGTAAAAAAAAATGAATTTCACCACTGACTAGAAGATGTCCAAGGTCTCTTCCAGTCCTAAGATTCTATGATGTTTTGAGCAAATACAAGCCACGCTAATGCCACACCTTATCTCTTCCTCTGTCTCACAGAAGTAACAGAAAGCTCGGTCCCCAATGGCGATTCCCAGAGCAGTGTGGATAGTTTGCGGAAGCATCTTCGTGCTGATACTTTCACACAACAGCAACTGGAAGCATTAGATCGCGTCTTTGAGCGGCCTTCTTACCCCGATGTCTTTCAGGCATCTGAGCACATCAAATCTGAGCAGGTGGGACCCATTTGGAGAAACAAACTTGATGGGAACCCTACAACTGCAACGGGTCACTGTTGATTCCCTTCTCTTACAAATTTTCATAATCATGTCTTTCAGGGAAATAGCAGTTGAAGGGGGGAAATTCTTAAAATAAATCTTAAAATGAGTTACCATTCCAAGAACTGGGGTGGCAGCTATGGTGATTAAATTCCCATAGAGCCAATTTGTAATGTAAAATGCGCTGTCTGTTGTACAAGTCTTGTGCAAAAGGTTGTCCACTTTTCTATGCCATACAGCATATTTTTATTTGCAATTATGGCAGGTGCTGCTATAAGGAATTTTTTTTGTCAGTTTCTCATCATTCTGTAGTCTTCCTGATGGGCTTTCACAGTATCTTCATTTTGACAGGGAGGCTGCAGCTCCTTGGAGGGAGTATCGCACAATGAAAGGCAGGACAATCACAAGGCTCCTTAGCACTTTATCACCTAGATAAGTACTAGTAGCGTCCAACCAAAAGGCTTTTGAATGGAGCCTGTTTTCTGTCCAGTTGAATAAAAATCCTTGATAAAAGATGGAGGAAATGTTTGGCTCAGCTGAGTTTTAAACTTTATAAACTTTTGCAGAATACATCAACAGTTGACTACAATCNGATTTTGCAGTATCCTTCCCCTGCTATGCCCACCAAGCCACGCCGATAGAACCAGTAGTAAAAAAAAATGAATTTCACCACTGATCCCACCCCAGGTAGAACATTATCTGACCTTAAAAGTTAAGCAAAAAGCAAGATTGCACACAGAAAAATGAATGCTACTGAGAAAAAGGGACTGGGTGAGCATTTACTTATCCCAGCTTCTGCTAACCTAGCAGTTTGAAAACACGTAAACAATGCAAGTAGAAAAATAGGGACCACCTTTGGTGGGAAGGTAACAGTGCTCTGTGCGCCTTCAGGGTTGAGTCGTGCCAGCCACATGACCACAGAGATGTCTTCGGACAGCGCTGGCTCTTTGCCTTTGAAACTGAGATGAGCACTGCCCCCTAGAGTCGGGAACGACTAGCATATATATGTGAGGGGAATCTTTCCCTTTATTGTCACATCATCTTTCTCCTATTGTTTTACTTTAGCTTAGGAATGGATTGGACAGGAATTATCCTGGACATCAAGCTGACTGGCTCCAAAACCTCTTAATTTGCACTCCCAAGTGTAATAATTTTCATTTTTCTTCCGACATTTTGCCATCCAAAGCTACAAGCCATTTCGGTCTAAAGAAAGATGAATTACAGTTAAATTAAAAATGATAATATTTGCAATAATAGTTACAGTGCCATAAATATTACTAATTATAATATAATCCCATGTCTGACTTAAATGAGGAAATTAAAGAATGACTCCCAGGTCAGCAAGTGACACAGCTGGGGGCAGTGGCTACTAATTTCAGAGGACAGAGGAAAGATTCAACAAGACCTAAGCAGGCTTGAAATTAATACGATGGAAATTAACCAGAAGAATTCTACAGTTCTATATCTGGGTAGGAAAAATGGAAAACACAAGTATAGGCTGGCCATGATTTGGCTGAAATGTATAAAGGAGCCAGTTGTCTTGGGAAAAAAACAAGTTAAATACTGGATAAGCCAGGAGTGTGAAGTGCAAAAAAAAAGGCAAATTATATTCTAGAGTGCATTAACAAGTGCATAACAAGCCAGGTGGCAGAAATAAATACCACTCCTCTCCAGACATATTAGTTCTACTTAAAATACCATATTCTCAGGGGTGGGATTCTACCAATTCAGACCAGTTCAGGCAAACTGGTAACTCTGACTATCAGCTGGGAGCGAACCGGTTCGCTCTGACTTTGAAATGGGCCCGCCCACCTGTTCCTGCGCTATACTCACTTATAATTCCTTTTCTGAAACCCAGCTGATCGGTGAGGCAGAGTGGATTGCCGTACCTCAGCTGTTTTCCTCGCCAGCAGTAATGCTGAAGGCGAGTTTTCAGTAAACTCTGCACATGCGCAAAGTGCGTCCTCAGCAAACCGGTTGTTAAACCAGAAGGATCCCACCCCTGCATATTCTTGCACCACACTTCAAAAAGGACAGTGACAAATTTGTGCAAGTTTAAAGAACGACAGCAGGATGATGAGGGATCTGGAAACCTATCTTTATAAAGGATAAGTAAATTATTTGGGTATATTTAGCCTAACAAAGAGGCAACTGAGATATTACAGAAGTTTTTTAAACATCTGATGGGTTGCTACATGGAAAATAGAGTGGACTCATTCTTGATTGTCCTAGAAAACAGAAGTTAAAATTGCAAGGAAGGAGGTTCATCCACTATCCAAAAGATTGAGACAATAATCGGACCAAGGTAAATTGGATGAGGTGCCTAATTGGTGCTAAACTGTTTCCATCAGTTAAGGGACACCTGATTAGGCTCCCAGTTGAATATCAGTCAAACCATTCCACATCCTAAAACTACTATGTACCATATTTTCCCAAAACTAAGACAGGGTCTTATATTCTTTTGCCCCCCCAAAATAAGTACTTGGCCTTATTTTCGGGGAGGTCTTGTTATTTTTGAGATGCAGGAGGCGGTGAGCATGCTCACCTCATGGCTGCTGCTGTGTTGCAATATTTTCGGGGAAGGCTTATTTTAGAGCATGCACTCAAAAGCCCTTTTGGGCTTATTATCCAGGACGGTCTTATTTTCAGGGAAACAGGGTACTAAGGGAGAAATGCAACTTTAAATAGTTAAGCACAATTTATGGTTGTTCCAACGAAGAGTAGATGAAGGCAATGGTATGGAAGTAAAGCAGAAAAATATATTGTGGGGCATATTATATATACTGCTGTAGTTATTGTTAGTTGCAAAGTTGTGTCTGACCCATCCCGACCCCATGGACAATGTTCCTCCAGGTCTTCCTGTCCTCTACCATCCCCTGGAGTACATTTACTGTATTTTTCGGAGTATAAGATGCACCAGAGTATAANTATAGTAATACCCAAGAAAGCTACAGGAATGTATTGCCATGGTTGTGAGCAGTTAAACTTGACTGAAATGTAGTGTCTACTTTACCTCATATACTAGTGGGAAGACAACAGTGTAGCTATCACTACTGACTACACTAAACATAATATCATGTAATTATGGATCCTTCTTAAAAGGGCTACAGTTCTGAAGATCAAGCACACATTTAATTTAATGCAAGAGACAAGGACATGAAGAAATTTATATTTGGAGAAAAGGGCAAATTATCTCTCTTCTTCCATTATTCTCCCTAGGAATTAAGAATAATTGCTGGAGTGAAACTTATTTCCTTTCACCATTGTGGAATTAATGTTGTGGCATTAATGTTTTTTAACAGTGTGATCTCTTTAAAAGTTTTAATGTTAATATTTTTACATATTAGACCCCTTGTTTAATTTTCCAAAGCTCTTCTAAATAATATTATCATTTATATGTTTATTACTAGATGTTGGCTTGCTTCAAAATGCAACAATTTAATTATAAATGCATTTATTCATACATTGATGAATTCATAGTAAAAAAAATGCCTACCATTTCTTTAATAATGCAAAACAATAGAATATTATTAAGAATAATCAATGGCAAATATTTAAATAATAATAGCAAAACTGAATTCTTATTTTGCTCCTCTATAAAACATAGCATGAAATTTAAGTTCAATTGTTTTAAATTAAAAGGAGCAACATGTTCATAGACTAAAATGGCTTATATCAGAGGGAGGGAATTTTAGGAGAATTTAGGAGTACACTGCCCATTATGTCTAAGAAGATAGCAGAAAATGTCTTTTCTATGTATGTTCTCTCCATCAAGTTGTAAAAGCAGCTACTGTACTATAGTGTCTTCAGCTAGAAGAAACCTTTGGGAATCCTGGTTGAAAAATTAATATAACAACAGCAACAAATATTTTTTTATCAATATAGCATTCACATATTCAAACAGTTTTATGAATTTAATGTCAACTGAGTAACAATGTTTTTTAAAAACTCCTGAAACTATTACTCATTCAGCAAAAGTGCCTGTGATTGTTCTAAAATAGTTCCCACATATGAACACTATATGTACTTTTCATATCAATTGCATATCTCTAAAAGAAACATAGAGATGGAGACTGAGTTTTTGTAAATAAATAGAAATAGCAAATAGCACTTAAACTTACATACCACTTCATAGTGCTTTGCAGCCTCTCTGGGTGGTTTTCAGAATCAGTATATTGCCCCAACAATCTGGGTCCTCATTTACCAACCTCGGAAGGCTAGAAGATGAGTCAACCTTGAACCAGTCATAATCGAAATCCTGGCAGTCAGTGGAATTTGCCTGCAATACTGCATTCTAATCACTGTGCCACTATGGATGGATGGATGGATGGATGGATGGATGGATGGATGGATGGATGGATGGATGGATGGATGGATGGATGG